TAATCAAGCGTTTTGTTGTTTTTCTTGTTGTGTTCATAAAAAGATGGCATTACTTTAGACTAATTTTATGTATAACCTTTTCCGTACAGAAAATGAAGAAAGCATGTAAGAACTTATGAGAGTGGGTCAGCTCAATTCATTTATAACATACATTTAGATTTACATGTACATTTATGTCAACGTGTTTTGACTTTTCATATTTTCAAGAACACTGCTTGTCTTAGATTTCAAATCTCCCTCCATATTTTTTTTTTCAAATTACAAATGCAATCTACGTGCACTGACTAATGGAGCATTCAACTAACAGTCAACTGCACATGAAATAGAGGATTATTCAACTAGCAGTCATCTGCACGGGAAATAAAAGAGTAATCAACTAGCGGTCAACTGCAAAGGTAATAGAGGAGTATTCAACTAGCGGTCAACTGCAAAGGAAATAAAAAAAGTATTCAACTAGCGGTCAGCTGCAAAGGAAATAGAGGAGTATTCAACTACATGTAGCGGTCAACTGCAAAAAAAAAAAAAGAGGAGCATTCAGCTGTGGCCCGCTCTATGCAAATGTGTTGAATGCTTCCTCATTTGAATGGCAAAAATTGAACTCATGGTCAATTGACGGTCATTTGACCGTCAACAGTTAGTAAACTGAATACTCCGATTGAATTCTATATGTTTTATCTATTTTCTCATATGGAAAACATTCTTTGGTAAACGTAATTAAACTATTTATAATTCATTGAACAACAAAAAAATAAATCATATCTTGCTTATGAAATAATATTATGCATCTGATGTCGTTTCAATCATATAAAAATAGAATTCTATGATTGAACCCTGTTCCTTTATGATATCCCTTGCCGAGTTTTCTGTCTGTGTCTGTAACATATCCCGTGCGTTTGTAAATTTACCCTGTGTCCAAGATGCGAAAGGAAAAAAAAAACATCAGAAAATTGTGGAAATAAAACTTCTTTCGTTCCTCACATTTATTTCTTTATATACATTCAACTTCTTTTCAATTGTCTTCGACTTAAAAGTGTGTGCTAAGAACTATGACATTTTAAATGTAAAACAAAGAAATACACAAACCAAGAGGGAAAAAGTAAATTTGCGCCTGTCGTTGATTCAAGTGTATGTTTTTTTTTCAGTTGAAAATCAGCGTTCATTTAGTTGACTTTCATTTTGAACCGCAATCATATCATGAAACTTTCAATGAAAGAGTTAAGACAAAATAGGGAAACGCCCAACACTTGACGGTGTTTGAGGACTACCCAATTACATGTAAATAGACTTTTCACACAAGTAGAAACGTTGCAAAGAACATAAATTGTCATCCCATTCTCAATTGTTAGCTGTGCTACTAAAAACACATTTAAGGTTGTTTTCGTCATCGTTATTTGGTTCACCAGTGCGAAAGTTGTCATAAGAAAATTGGTCGCCGCTCTTTTCCCACGAACATCCAGGAACTCCATTACTCTGTATTGGGCACTTTCCACCAATCCATAATACTTTTTCAGTCCAATCGTAGGTTTTACCTTCTTTCATGAAAAAATAGAAATAAAATGATAGAATTTTAGCCACAAGTTGTGGATTAAGAGCAATAAGCATATATTTAATGTAAATCTTGGGAATAACTGTTTTTCAATTTGGTATTTTCGACGGTTATTTAATGCCAATTTAACGTTTGCAAACTAAGTATTACCGGCTCCGCGTAAAACGTAGTTTGCGACGGTAAAATCAGCATTAACGGTCGCAAATACTAAATTAGAAGATAAGTTATTTCTATTCTAATGCAATCCATGCATTTTGCCTGTTGTTTACGTCTTATTTTGTTGAGTTTCGTTGTATAAAATACGTCACGGAGCATTGTGTTTTTTGCCTCTGTCTATTATAATATCACAATTAAAATCTTTCACTTGCGTTAATGCTCTTTTTACTGCTTAAACTTTTGTTTAATTGTGCGTTAGCCAATCAAAACGTGTTTTACAAAAATTGCCTTAGAGTATACTTTTACCATGTAACAAATCTATATTAACGACAATTTTAAATTTTGAGAGTTGATAGTAAAGTTGAGTCAAATTTGAAAAAAAAAAGATTTTTATAATCGGAAGATTCAATTAAGAATTATATGCTCATATAATAGGTGTATCTACATGGATTTTTAACCAAGCGTTTGATTTAGTTGTATATGCAATATTGCAATACAAAACGTGGTCTAGTATTTCTTGACATGGCAAATTTACTGACCTCATTTTAACGTCAAATCTCTATCATGATTTTGAATCTGACAGTACGTAAGATTTTCACAAAAATGAAAGAATTCAAACAGAAGCAAAATAATCTTTTATAGTTTAACTCGTACATACGACTTTTGTTTTAACAAAACTTTGAGACTTCCCCTGCAAAACTACATGAATGATTGCTAATTCAAATCGATGACGTATAACTTGATGACGTAGCACCGTTGATGGTGCTTCGAAAGAAAGTAGATCGTGTTCAAAATTTAGAATTTTTGCTATCTGCGTCTTTGAAAATATCATACGACAATTGATGGTGCTTTACATCAAACGAACATCTGATTGAAGGTTGTAAGGACCACGGATTCGTGAATATGAACTCTTTGGACGATGGCAGCACAAAAGGCAAGGCTAGGGGCCTACTTGTAGATTCATTGTTGATTTATGAAAAGTTGCACCTATATTACTAGGTAGGCGTACGTATTATAATATAAGAAAGCGTTATTGCAGATGTTAAAGGAATCTTTTAAAAACAACTTAACTGCTGGGCTTTACTTTCTCCGAAAAACTAATTTTGAGGTGTCATCTGTCTTTGAGTAGCCGATACAGGTTCCTTGATAAAATAAGACACTTTTTTGACATATACGACACTTTTTCTTGTTTTTAACGATATTATTGGTCTTTATCATTCATTTTATTAGGGCAAAAATTTTCACAAATAAAAGTATCAATAAAATAAAATCTTGAAGCGAGAGATCGTGTCAAAACTGGAAGTACTATTGATAAAGCATCTACCCGTGGATAAAGCATAAGTTTATATAATGGGCTGTATCACAAACACGTAGGAGATAAAAAGCAGTCTATGCTCGCAAATTAGACACAAGTATTTTAAAAGCTGGAAAAAATGCATATTTTTTGTGAAATGTTCAGTATTACGTGAAGCTTTTTAAAAATTATTTATGTATTTTTTTTTCTCTTGATAAGAATTATGATCAATTAACAACAAAAATATTTTTACATTCTGGATTATCGTTTAAACAAACATACTGTAAATAATCAGAATTGCAAAACATATTTTTTTCTTATTTTAAAGTACTTTAAAGTAAAAAAAGAAGTTTAAAGTATTTTAAAGAAACTCAAATCAAAAATTACAAGACCTTGTTAAATGCTATGGGTTGTGAATTTTCAAATTAGTAACTTGCTAAATTGCTGATAAAATTTCAAAAATTATGTAAAGTTTACTTTTGAAAACCACGATTTCAAAATGAAAAGTGAATGTACTTGGAAAAAAGTTTTCCACCTGCATGTCTTTTTAATTGCTTGATTATGATTTGTTGTTTGTTTTTGAATATTTATGATAGTCATTTTAGCTATTTTAAATTTTAGAATACATCTGGAATTACATATTTAAAAAAAATTCAGCTATCATTAGCCAGTTTTTGTTCTTATGATCATCGACTTGACGAATTGTAAATAAACCTTTCATCGTCTAAATTTAACCGGCAATTTAATGATTTTCATGAACTTCTTCACTAAAATCAATAAAATGGAAATTTAGTTTGTGTTACAACGAAATGTCGCTTTCATTCGAAGCTATTCCCTACGCAATTTATTGTTCTATTTAAAAGTATGCTGTACATTTGTCCAATAATAGAAAGGAAAATCATGATATAGTAATTGAAACTTGAACGATGGTGAACGAGATCGAATGAATGTCGTCTGGCTTTCTCTCCATAGGCTTTCGATTATTAAAGGTTTTTTGTCAATGAAGTATTTGATATGTCTTTATCAACTTCTGTACGTATTACCTATGATTTCATCCATTTCTCTCAATATTCAAAGTATTTTTGAATTTTGAATCTTGGTTTTGCATTCCTCTCGCTAATTCGATATAAATTTTTATTTAAAGAAAAAGAATGAGTAACAATTTATTCTATATTATATATCATATTAAATTATGATAGAACAGGTACTTGTGATCAACCCTCGTACCATGCATAAATAGATTCATATTCGTGAAAGACATATATTTTGACAGCTTACAATAAACATCAATATTTTACAGATGAATAGATGTTATTTTATATTTTTACACTGTTTTAACGCATTTTATCACTTAAAAATAAATTCAAACAACGATTTTATTCCATCTCTACGCCACAAATTAATAAGTATCGTTTGCGTCATAAGTGTTTTAGTTGACGTCCTTCTTTCGGCACTTCAACAGCTCGGATATTTCCGATTTTTTTCCAAAAAATTCAAAATCTTGATCCCAATAAATGGGAAATGATGTCTTTTAGTTTTGTTCTTTTTTATTAATATTTTTTTTATCGAACTGAATTTAGCAAGTACATAAGCTCTGTATAGGATTTTGAAAGCGCATAACTCCGCTCTCCCTAACGGCTGCACCGTAAAAATATTAAATTACAATTTACAAGCCCCTGTACAAAGAATTGAATATAGATTTTTCAAACTGCACAACGGCTATTTTTGATTTTGTTATCCACTCCACCCGATCCGCCACCCATTCCTCCAAAATTACTTTCCCTATAACAAAAAAAAAAAAAAAGAAAAAAAAGAAGAAGAAAAAAAACGTCCGACAAATGAACGCTCAGGTTTACTTAATTAATAACACTAACTGGAATTTAAACCGGAGAGTTAGGTGTCGTGTCTATTGAAAGATATTGACTACTGCAACTATTCTGTCAATGATTAATTGAATATTTATATATCTTTTGTTGGCTTTTGTGACAAAAGCTACATAAGGCCGTGTTTGTTTGAAGTCAAAAATCGAAAAGGCCCGAAAACATGAAAATCATACAGAATTTCGTTTTCCTTTTAAATACATTTTTACTCATATCAGGAAATTTACAAGACAGTTATTCAAAATTAAGATTCGGTTACAGATTGGACAGAAAGATGATTGATTCCTATACTGAGTATAGTATACTAGACTGTGTAGAAGAATGTTTAAGAACCACGCGCTGTAAATCTGTTAGTTATTACAAAGGAGCCAACTACTGTGAAATCAGTTATGAAAATGAAACTACTGCCCACGACAAATACAAAGAAGACAAGGGGTGGACCTACAGCGAGAGAGAGGACTGGGACCCGGTAATTATATTTTATTCATTAATTAATTAGTTAAGCATAAAATTATAAAATAAAATCATTTATTGCCATTTAATTTCATAAGGCTTACGAGGTTATAAATCACTCAACTTTAATGTGTGTTTCAAAATTTCGAAAAGAAGCATTTTCCCTTTATTTACCGATCATGACAAGGAGCACATGATAAAAGCCAGGATCACAAGGGTTGCTTATCTGTTACCACTCCACTGGACTCGATGCCACTTCTAATTAGTTTTCTCTGTTCCTGATTTATAATGTTTCATTGTAGTTTGGAGTTTGAATTATGTTTATTAGTTTGAATTATGTTTATTATCTCCATGATTGTCATGCAGTAATGGTCATTTGTCATATTGGGTATTGTGATTTAGTATTAATGCTTGTTTGTAACTGGTCTGCCTTTGAGATGGTTGTATTTCTTACGATTACATAAGAGGTATTCGCCATTGACTTGCAAATAAGACGGGGGTTTTTTGTTGCTAGAATTGAGTGAAAATGTGAAGCCAATTCTGTAATGTTTTAATCAATGTCTCACATAATATAATCTAGAAATGTTCTAAATGCGAGATATTAAAAGTCCAAACAATATATGATTTTCTTGCAATCTTATAAACAATTCACTTGATCTGTCATTGTTTGTTTATTTTAAATCAATTTTCATAACTTCTATAGCTTAATTGACACAGTAATGTTTTTGGCATAATGTCAGTTTCTTTAACAAAAAAAGTTACCTGTAAGATAAAGTCAGATATTTTGTTTTCCAAAGTAATTTGAAAAATTTAGAATTAAGAATAATAAAGACGGATTAAACGAATACATGTTTGTCGATAATCGCAAATGACAAATATGGTTATGACCTTTTTTTGGCATCTGGTTTGGAGTGTCTTTTTAAATGATGCAACCCTTTTTCGATAAAAATCTCTTGTAACCACTTTTACAAAATGAGTATTGGTTTTGTTCTGAAAATATTTTATTGCGTAATTCATACAAAAATATTGGTTTCAAGTCCTTGAAACTTAGAAAACCTTCACTACATTTTATTGCAGTTTCGTGTTTTTGTTTGTTAGTATGTTGTACTGACCTGTGCAATTGTTGTAGGTTCTTTTTATTTTATTGCATAATTCATACAAAAAGATTGGTTACAAGTCCTTGAAACTTAAAAAACCTTCACTACATTTTATTGCAGTTACGTGTATTTGTTTGTTAGTATTTAATGTTCAAACTGTAACAAATGTTCTTACACTTTTATAAACAATTCCGATGGTCTGCCATGTATGAATATGTCGATACTGCAAACACCAAATATGATCAAGACCTCTTTTTGACCTCCGGTTTGGAGTATCTTTTAAATGATGCGACCCGACCGTTTATCGATAAAACCTTATTGTTATCATTTAAAAAAAAGAGTATTGGTTTTGTTTTGAAAAATATATTATTGCATTATTCTTACAAAAGAATTACTTCCAAGTTCTTGCAACTTGCAATATATACAATAATTATAGTTATAGTGATAGTCAACCAAGCTATTACATCTGTAGTGAACATGTAAAGTTATTAATACTAGGGAGCACTGGTTCATAACTCTGGGATGCACAGAGGGGGAGAGAGGTCAAAAAATATTCCAGTTTCCGATTTTCAAATTTCTAAATTTAATTCTTATTTTATAATATTTCAGCTTTGAAAATTTTTATCGATTTTATATCCCATTTTGTTTTAGAAAACATAGACCACAAGCTTGCCTTTCTAGCAGATTTCTATAGTTCATACATTAGTGTTAGATGCATTTTATGTTTAAAATTCTCAGCTTGTCCTCTCTTTTAACCGAAGTGATAAGTATAGAAATTTTGGCGAAATTCCATCAGAATTAGGAATCTCGGGAAAATGCCCTACTTCTGAACCACTCTATGGCTAGCTCCGTGTAAGCTTTAAATCAAAATAAGACATTTAAATCCTTAACACGAATTTTATCTGTGTTCCAATTCGTATTTAAAAAATCTCGTTATTCTTTGTGTTTTAATACATTATATAGCATAATAGATTTGGATTTTTAAAACCTGTACTTTAAGTCACCTGTAACCATATAAAGGTTGACAAAACTCTCAATTCTTAACTTGATAGGTTTTTGTCAACTTAATGTACATTGCAGGTTTTAAATGTTGAAAACAATACATGAAGTGTATAATATTTTCTGAACTTCGTTAGTAAAGAAATCTTTTTATTTAATACACAATTATGCATAAATATTAAACATTCGAAATGTTCAACATTATATCATCTTCGGAAATGACAAATCAAATGCCAAAAAGTCACCTAATTATATTATATCCTGATGCATAATAATTTTACAACATCATTATCCAGAAGTGTCTATGTTAATAAACAAACGCCACATCTTTTTCACAACATTTGTTAATGAATGCTGGACATGGTAGATCAGTTCCATGAATCTTTGAAAATATATCCAAAAGCAATTTGAAAAGAGAAAGAAATATTTCCTAATGAAATGACAACCTCACTGGATGCACTGCAGGGGGAATAATTTTTGGGACATAGATCACAAACTTTCATCATTTTCATATACCTGCCATTATCTGAATTCCCCAAATTTTCATGAATTATTTCATTCACTCTCAGCTGCTGTTCATTGTTGGTTCAATTGTAGGAGCAAACTGCTATGTTTCTCTGTTATTAGCTGTTCCTCAATCTCAGCCTTATACAAGCCGTAAAGTTGGTGTTCGCGTTTTGACAAAAATATCGAACCACTGCTGTTGTACTCAGTGAAAATATTGTGTAGTGTCCCTTTTTAAATCCTGATTGTTTACAAAGATTTTCGAATTTTTTTTTCAAAAAATTAACAGCAGGTTCAGAATCTGCATACCTGCAGGTTTCTGCTTGTGCCTACCTAATTTAGAGTATTTACCACCCTTGGGCTGTATTTTTGGAGAAATATATATTACTTTCTCCATCCGATAAGGACATCTTGACTCATGAAGCTTTACATGGGAGATGTAAAGTCAGAAATCAAGTGAACTATCATTTAAGGTATTTAATCCCTGATAGGAACAAATTCAATGAAATTGAATACATAACAGATATGTAGGTATTGATTACTCAGTTTACTTATAGGCGATTTTATTCGCTCAACAAAGTTTCTAAACATATTACGCAAAATTGTACGATTACATGTCTAACAGACTCTTATATACATGTGTATCATGGAAGGGACAAGAGGGAGCATACTACTGCAAAGAACAATATCTATTATTCAGCAACATTCAATGTCGATCCGGAAGAAATCTCAACATTCGTTCCGCGCACTCGAATGCGCAACAATGTACTGTAGTGTATATTCTCCCAGTCTCTGATGCGATGATATAATAAATTCACAGCTTTAAAAAAACAATTTTGCATCTCCACAGTGTTTAATTCAAATAAGAAAAAAAAAAAACATTTAATGAATCAACATCTTTTTAACATATTGTGAATGTAATATAAGTTAATATACATGTAGCTCAAAAGTTTTATATGAAAGATGTATTCACTAAGGATTTGAATTAACAGGATATCTAAGAAGTACAAAATAATAAAACAGGAAAAAAGTTTTTTTTTTATTTTGATGACTGCAATTAATAAATATTACCTGGACATTCATTATTCACTTAATATCTTATGTCTTACAGAAAATAACAGGATCTTGTTCGGAGGCAACATGCAAAATATACCAAAAATGTATCCCCAAATCCCTTGGAAGTTATGAATGTGTACTATCAGGTACGTTTTTTTTGTTTCAAGTCCTTTTCAGTGCATTTCATCTAGCATTGATACGCCTGTATTAGTCAGAGTTACCTTTTTGTGCCTCTATACGGATCCCTGCTTATAGGACCCATTAGAGCCTGTTTCCTTTTTAAGCAGTGGGATTCAAAGCCGTGGCGTAAGGATCAACTCCATACAATGCGACTCTAGATTGATTGTATGTTGTTTAACTTCCCTCTCTAGAATTTTCACTTATATGGAGACACCACCACTTGCCGTTGGAGAGCTGCAATTTTTGTCATATATTCGGCACTTAGGGTAATTGAGCAGGAAAGGATCATTTAATATTATTAAATAAACAACAAGAGGCCCAAGGGCCTTGAATCGCTCTTCTGATAAATTGTACAATCTATCACTTCTATTCGAAGCCTCCAACTCTATTAGAATCATAAGACCCAAAATGCATCAACTTACAAAGTTTGATAATATGATGCCAGCTAAGACTGAAGATATTATAATATAATTATAAAATACCATAAGTAGGTCACAGTGACCTACCTTTTGATTGAAATTTTCTGAGGAATCAAGATACATTAATTGACAAGACTGATGATTCTAATTTAGTAAGTACCTGAGATATTCAAAAGTAGGTCACCATGACCTACTTTTTGATAAACATTCTCTGAAAACCCAAGATGCATCATCTGACAAAGTTTGACGATTCTAAGCCAATTAGTACCAGAGATAATTAAATATAGCCATCAAATGTCAAAAGTAGGTCATGGTGACCTACTTTTTGGTCGACGTCATTCAAAAACAAATAATGCATAAATTGACAAAATTTGATGATTCTAAGCCAATAAGTACCTGAGATATTCAAAATTAGGTCACCGTGACCTACTTCTTGTTGGACATTCAATGAAACCCTAAGATGCCTCAACTGACAAAGTTTGATAATTCTGAGCCAATAAGTACCAGATATAATTAAATATAGCCATAAAATGTCAAAAGTAGGTCACAGTGACATACTTTTTGGTCGACGTTCTCCGAAAACCCAAGATGCCTAAACTGACAAAGTTTTATGATTCTAAGCTTATACGTACCTGAGATATTCAAAAGTAGGTCACTGTGACCTATTTTTTGGTCGACATTCTCTGAAAACCCAAGATGTTTCAACTGACAAAGTTTTATGATTCTTAGCCAATAAGTGCCTGAGATACTTAAATATAGCCATAAAATGTCAAAAGTAGGTCACTGTGACCTAATTTTTGGTCGACGTTCTCCGAAAACCCAAGATGCATCAACTGACAAAGTTTGATGATTTTAGGTCAATAAGTACCAGAGATACTTAATTATAGTCACAAAATGTCAAAAGTAGGTCACCATGACCTACTTTTTGGTCGTCACTCTCCGAAAACCCAAGATGCATCAACTCACAAAGTTTGATGATTCTAAGATTCTAATAAGTACTGGAAATACTTAAATAAAGTCATAAAATGTCAAAAGTAGGTCACCGTGACCTACTTTTAGGTTGCCACTCTCCGAAACCCAAATATGCATGGACTCACAAAGTTTTATGATTCTAAGCCAATAAGTACTGGAGATACTTAAATATAGCCATAAAATGTCGAAAGTAGGTCATCGTGAACTACATTTTGATCGACAGTTTTCAAAGACCCAAGATGCATCTACTGACCAAGTTTGATGATCGTAAGTCTGAAGGTAATCAAAATATGCGTTTTAAACAATTTGAAAACAAATGTCAACAAAATTCAAAAAGTGACCTGCTTTTTCATAAATATGTTTTAAGGCCCCAAGATGCATCAAAGTACAAGATTTGATGATTCTAAACATCCCAGTGTCTGAAATAATGGGATTTAATGTTTTCAAAAGGATAAGTCATAAAGTTCAAAACGTAGGTCACGATGACCTACTTTTAAATTGACATTGTTTGAGGACCCAAGGTGCATCAACTGACAAAGTTTGATGATCATAGGCCTAAAAGTGTCCAAAATATGCCAAAATATGCCTTCAAATCAATTTGAAAACGAATCTCCGCAAAATTTAAAAAGTAGGTCACCGTGACCTACTTTTGAGTTAACATGATGTGAAGTCGTAAGATGCATCAACTTACAAGAATTGATGATCCTAGTCCTTATAGTAAGCAAAATATACACATTTTTATTAATTGTAAATTTAGGTCAACTTTGAAGTGACCCTGAGACCATGCCCTTTGTTCCAGGGTAATTCCCCGTGCAGATTCTAATCTTCGACATATCCTGATCCTTGTATGTAAGTTCGGTGAAAATCTGCCTGGTGGTTATGGAGAAGATTTTATAGCAACCAGTACTTTTGGTTTTGTTTTCCTGATTATCTCACCTAGTTTAAGGGTCCCAACCCTTTTTTTAGTATTAATGGTAGCCCCTGGGCCAAGGATACCCTGTGACAAATTTGGTACTGATTGGCCAAGGGGTTCTTGAGTTATGGCCCATATTCTAAAAAGTTTACGTACACCGCACACCGCACAAATGGCCATAGCATTAGCTCTTTGAGCCTTTGGCTCAGAAGAGCTAAAAATGGCTAATAAAAAAGTTTGACAGACGTTATGAGACGGGATTACGTTTATTTGTCACTGTTGGTTGTAAAAATCACTGATTAATAACACGTAGCAAATCAGCTCAGTTATTATTTTTGTGATAAGGAAAAGAAACGTACCTTAGAGTCTTGCCTTACTAGCAACAAATTTATATTTTTACATCCTTTGTTTTTCCTCAATCTTTGAAGGTGATTAGACACAGATTGGACGTTAATATTTTTTGTATAATATCACGACACATATATTTTAATAGCATTTCACACAAAAATATATTAATTTTTCTTATTTAATCTAAAAGTTATTTAAACTTCAAATTTTCGGATGGGTTTGATTGACACATCCTTGCACTCTTACAAATTTTACTTTAATTCTTAATACTTCGAAAATTGACAATCTTTTTGTGTATTAATGAAAAATATTAAAACTTTAATCCAGAAAAATAATTATATTCAGAGTAGAAATGTTCGGAAACAAAACTCCTTCACAAGTATCGTCATTCCTTTCTAAGTATTATATCGTGTACAAAGCTAAGCAAATTCATCACACCCGTGAAACGTACACAGTTTTTGTAAACAGGGCACGAGCTCTGTTATTATTGATGTTTACGATTCACGATTTTCCTAAATATTAAGAATAAAATTAAAATTTATGAAAGTGTAAGGATGTGTCAATCAAACTCGTCTAAAAAACTGAAGTTTTAATAACTTTTAGATGAAATAAAATTTTTAATATATATTTTTGTGTGAAATGCTGTTGAAATATATTAATTGTAAAACTATTATACACAAGATATTAACTTCAAATCTGTGTCCATGCGCCTTTGAACAAACCAGATCAAATCGAGTGCGCCGTCGGTCAGCAACTTTCGATCTGAGCGCATGTAAACATTGCCATGGTTAAGGTAGAATGTTTCTGAAGTACACTCGTACTTGTGATTAACGACATTTGCTGACTTAAACAACATTTGATGAGTTTTTATAAGGTTATTAATTGATTGTTTTGACATTTTAAGTTGAACTTTATCGTCATTCTCGATTACGTTTGTTTTTTATATTGTTTGCTATTCCTACGCTGCACTCAAAGAACGGATTGGAGTATGGCGGCGTAAAAGAGAAATAATTTTTAAAATTTGAAATATTCGTAATTGGAATAATATACGTTCTTATTATCAGAATTTATCGATGAGAAAACTCACGCCTTTTTACTCACAAACTTAACATAAAAGAGCTTCCCACTATAATAATCATTTGAATTGCTATCATTAAGAATTGTAAACATTAAAAATGGATTTTTAAAATTCAGTTGAAACTGTGTCCCTGTGCCTTTAGAACTGAAAAATGCATGATAATTTACCGATACAATTAATCGAAACCCTTGCTAAGGTTTCTGAAATTTATTTTTAAAAGCCTCAAATGTCAAGAAGTATGAAAATACCAGATTCCTACTTTTAGTGATGACTTCGTGTAAAACAGAAATAAAATTATTGAGAGTTAGATTTATTATCCAAAGTACATTGTAAATATAGTTCTGAATAATGAATCAGCTTTATTGTATCAGACTGTGAAATCCCCCCGGATGTAGATGGCGCTGACATGAATAGTGTGGAGAGATGGGATGCAATAGGAATCTATAGACAGCTGAATATAAAGTGCAGAGATAAGTACAACCTAAAAGGACCAGGGCTTCTCAACTGTCTTTCAAATGGACAATGGGAGATTCATTTAATTTGTGGTATGAAAAGAAGAATCACAAGTAATTAAATGACTTCCGTTTAGTCTCAATCAAGTCTTGTTTTGAAGGTCAGAAAGAGTTGTAAGTCTATTAGAAATTACAAGTATTCATTTTTTTTCTTTCAGTAATATTCTGTTTATTTCTCAGAAACTAGAGTTGGGTATTGCGAGTGAAAACCATATTGCGATATATTGCAATATTTTACTTTGAATATTGCAATATATTGTGATATATTGTAAATTAATTATCATTCATAAATTTGTGCAGAAAGTTTAAAATGCTGTCAAGTTCAAAGGGGGGGGGGGGTAAGACATTAATCGCACACATAATTATAATAACGTTTAATTAGATACCAGGTAAAATATTAAAACAAAATGTACTCATTTGATGTATTTTTCAAATTGAAAAAAAAGTTTATGCATAGTATATTCTTTATACGTTTTTTTTTTTTTTTTTTTTTTTTGGGGGGGGGGGTTGTTTTATTTAAATAGCATAAAATGTACATTAATGATTAAAACAATACATACTATATGGAAATTTTATGTAGTCACAGAATAAAATTAAAGCCAGAAAGAAATTGTGACCTATTTTCGGGCGTTTGGTGTTTTAGTCAGACCCGACCTAATTTCACATTATGACATACGATCAGGAACTGCAACGGACCTATTTCTATTGTTTTAATATACATGTTCCTGGTATAGCATGAAGATGTTTAAAATGGCATGAAACTTGTTTAAAAATGATAAAAAGCAATACTGTATCATGTGAAAACATGGATGGCCATTTATTTGTAATATGTATCTTGAACTTAACATTCATCGTAGATCGTGTAGATTCCATGAGATTTTGAGAACCACAGTACACATGGTATACACCCTGCAGAAATGTTTTATATATTTTCTTTCTGATTAATTTTATTTAAAAGTCTTTTTTATAAATTATTAATTTTATTTTAAAGTAAGATATTTAAAATTGCGACTGTGAATGAAAAGCTTCCTCTCTCTCTCTGTCTCTCTCTTTTCTCTCTATCTGCCTCTGAAAGCTGACGAAGTATTTTTTAACTATATTGAAAAGGCCTTGGGAAGTTACAAGTATTATTTCAGCAGTTTCTACAATAAAGGAGGTTTTTATATATTTTTATAAATATCATGAAATACCGGTATCTGATTTTCACATAGCGATATATTGTCGTGGTGGATAATACCGCGATATATTGTCGTGGTGGATAATACCGCGATATACCGATATACCGGTAATATTGCACAGCCCTAATCTTTAAATGAGAGACAGTTTCTGTCAGAAATTGTCTCTCAATTAAAGATGTACAAATACTATTAAATAAAAAATGAATACAGCTAGTTTAGTTAAAGTACTGGTGTGTAATTAAATTACCGGTGTGTAAATCACACAAGACCTGCACATAGGCATATTTTTATATTTGATGTAATACACATGTATATGCCTTTGTATCAAGACTGTGTGGTTCACACATGGATAACTCACACAGAACTTAAAAACCTTCCTTAAATATATTTTTGTTGTTGTTACTCAACGTACCTCTTGACAATTTTTTACTCATATGGAGACACAATCCCTTACTTGCTGCTGGTGGGCTGCAAATTTTGACCTTTACTCGTCACTGCCGGCCATTGAGCAGTGAGGGATCTTTATCGTGCCAGTACTTACTGCGACATGAGACCTCCGTTTATACGGTCTCATCCGAAGTTTCCTCGTCCAACAGTGGGATTCGAACACGTGATGTATGGATTGACTCGCTACTCCGCGACTCCTGAGCAGAAGCATTAACCACTGCGCCACGCAGGCGACATGTGATGTTGTATATTTATCTCTACATGTGCATTTACTTTCTCAATGACTTCATCTCTTCCAGAGTGGCCACGCTTCGGAAACAAGGCGTATTCTGTCGGCAGCCGTAAACTAAATGGGATTAAAGCTAAGGTATGTCTCCTGTATAAAAAGTTCTAAAAACATCAAAATACTTCATTGGGTGGATTTCTGTATTCAGTACATTAGCCTTGTCAGTGCGTACACTCTATTCTGAGGTTCGGTGCTGACTAACCTTTATACTGCAATTTTAGCCAATACATAATTTTCTATGGAATTTTACGTTTTTTCCGAATATAAGAAGTACATGTAGCTACAGGTGTCAATGATCGTCAAGAGATGTTTTCTCCTTCATGGCATCTTATCCCACCTCTGATATTCTAAAGATTCTGTTTTCTGTGCTTCCGATTTGTAACGGTTACAACAGAACTTTGAGTGTAAATTCTTCTATTTATCTTTTTGTTTCTTTCAAATGTCACAGATAGATAATCTTTGTGAGATACAGAAGTATCCAGTATAGGCAATGTTAACACTATGGCTCATATTAGAGAATACAAAAAATAAAGATTTTATTTAAAAGTACCTAAAGCAACATCACTAAAATGGGGCGTTACTTTTAAAAAGAAATTAATACTTTCAAGAGAGAATGAATAATGTTCTTAAATGTATTTCAAAAACAATTTCCAAAAGATATGACAGATTATTGTAAAATCATTTAAAATACTGGGTAAGAACAAAAAAATGGAACCCTTTTTTCATTAACAGTTTTAACCTATTTTTTTATTTATTGTCAGTCCTTCAGTGCATTTAGGAATATGCATGTACAAATATCTCATGCCAATGTTCGCTTTGTTTTAATCTACAAGTAAAAAATCTAATTCTACATAAATAAAAAAAACTACATATCATTATTCTCTTTCAGGAGGCCTGTACATCTAAGGGAGCATATTTGGCAGAAATAGAAAACAAAGAAGAAAACACCTGGATAACGGAATATTTACTGAAGCCTTTATATGGTATGGAGAAGAAAATCCTTTAATTAATGTTGAATTATAAAATTTAACGGAATTAATATGAGATTTATATTTTTTCACTAAAATGCATACTTATAAAGAAACAATACTTGCAGAAATTATTTGATTGATTCAAATGATAACATTATTTTTGACGATAAAAGTATATCCATCTGCATTGGTAAATACTAATTAACCCCCGTCTCCCGCAGTCACGCATTTTAACGCGAAAACCATTACCCTACCTATTTCTAACGCCAAATCCTACAAATACATTTTCCCAGTAATCACGTATTTTTCCCTCACTTTCACTTTTAGAAATACATTTAAGGTCAGACGACACGTTCCATAAATAATTTTTTTGTATCTCTTGGTATTAAATTAAAAAATATGCATATTTGTCATTTTTGTGATTCCTTCATTGAAGTCTATATGTTTCATATAAAAGTACACCAAAAATTGTGATATAGGCCATTCAGATGATTACCCATATGGGATATTTAAGAAATATCACCCTGTGGTATCTTGTCCAGTGCCTGGTAAGCTAAGGTGAGGAAATTTGTTTAAGTACCTAGACTTTAATAACAAATTCTTTGGAAAAATTATATACATTTTTTTAGGAACGTGACGTCTGACCTTAATTTTCGATTTTATGCCAATTCCCTTCTATTTATACAACCGTTCATGTCAGCTTAGTCGGCGTTCGCCTCGTGACGGCAAACAATAGCACGATAAAGATCCTTCGCTGCTCAATAGCCCTGAGTGCCGAGTGAAGGTCAAAATTTGAAAATTTGCCCTTCACTGGTATTTGATGACGTCTATATAAGTGAAATATTCTCGAAAACAATGTAACATACAATCAATCAAACAATCTATTTCATACTTGCAAATATCTCATAAGATAAGAAAACAATATCAATGTATTCAAATATTTCGTGGTAATTATTTACACTGAACCTTAGGGAAGCTTTAACCGCGCTATAAAGTGCTTCCAGGGAAATGGCAAAGCTATATTTCTATGACGTGAAAATTAAGTGTGTGTTGCCTAACAGTTCAATAAGTTATAAAGAGTTAATTGTTATTTACACTTTTGTACCCATGCAATTTTCTCTAGTATGGGTATACTATTGCTCCCCCCCCCCCTCACCCCCAATAAAAATATACAATAAACAAATAGACAAACAAAGGTACAAAAAAATAATATTAATACGCAGAATCACATTCCTTGCATTTATGTTCATCATATTAAGATTAAGAAAAAAAGGAATAAATGAAAAAAAAAAAATACAGTAGCAAATGAAACATGCAATTGTTTCAATATTTAAATGCGCATTTCTATGCACATTCTTTTTTTCAATTGTAATTGCTGGAAAAATGTTTTTGAAAGATCCTTATCTCATGAAAATCGAACAAAAATGAGTCGCTTTAAACTTTATCATTTCCTCAAGTAAGTGTCAATTGCTTAAAAAAGGAATTAATTTTCACCTAAATTTTGACTTGTCGAATATGAAACAAACTGAGTGTGTAAAGGATGTTTTTATTCAATAAGTAAAATTTAATGTTAAAAAAAATAAGGACCAAACTTTTTGTCTATATTAAATGTTACGTCTTAGCAACTATACTTAAAAAACACATCATGCACATTTCACTTTACTTTCTAAAACATATTTTAGGAAGTAAGTTTCTTCTTATCACGTAATTTATGAAAGAAAAAATCGGAGTGTTTTGAATTTTTTTCATGAATAGTTACCCTTTAATTTTGAATACTAGTAAATAATCTCTTTCAATCCAAAACATCAAAAAACTTATTTTTATAGTAGCTGACCGGTCCTCCGGGCAGCATGAATAACTTTTTCTGACAGTATAAAAATCTCTTTGGTCAATATCTGGATTTTCCCCTTAAATAGTGATTTTATTTAACATTTGGATCATTTAATTTTTACAGACTTAGGATATTTGATAAATTAACGAAAAGGAGTAAAAGTGTGCTAAATTAAAAAAAAAATATATTAACTAAGGTTTACTGTATAAAGGGTTATTTTATCCCTGTTTTATTTTCGCCCTCTCACTCTTAGAAGTGAAGTGAATTGCTCCGTTTTAATTTCGCCCAGTTTCAATTTTTTTTTTAGAGAAATCAGGTTGTGTTTCATCATTACCCCCTCCCCCCGTTTTAGATTCGCCCTCCTGTGTTAAGGGCGAATGGGACGAAAATAAAACGGGGCGAAAATTCACATTTATCACAGATTCATATAGCAAACTCAAGTCAGCTATTAATCCTTATTATGTACTGTATATGCACTTTAAAAATCTTCTTCACATCAAAATGTCCACCTTTTAGCGGCTTTGGTGCGAAAAATGATGCGCTTCATTCATTAATGCCGCTGAGAAATCATTGCTAAATATAATTCACAGTAGGAAATGTGTAGCTCTTTTGATTTATTTATAGAAGAAGGATATGGAGATAACGAACAGTATTCAAGATCAAAAGTCAATTTAACAATACAAAATAGGAGCAGAGCAAACAAGGACCTCCAAAGTATCGGAGATGGGATCAGGTGCCATGGAGGACTGAGCATCTTCTGCCGAGCAGTCACATCCGCCGTATGCTCCTTGTCATGATTGGGATATAACAGTAAAATCCGTCGCCAATTAAGTGTATAGTAATAGAACAACAATTAGTATGAAAAACATCATTCAGCATTTGACTAAATGATAAAAATTATATTCGCTGAAAAGGTCTTTGTATCGATCATAGAACTTACGAAATGATGACTTTAAACGAGACAGCCTAAATTCCTGTTTCATCAACTTGTTTGTCAATATTTACCTCGTTTTAGAAATTGTTCTTGGTATGTTATAATGCTGCATAGGTACATGTAAGGGAAAGTGACAAGTATAAGAACGCGCTAAATTATATCTACACATAATACTATATGTTTAAGGCGATTTTGTGTCAATAACTTTCTTCTACATTTCTTATTTAATCAAAATCAATGCTATACACTGGAATTTTGTATTTTTTTTTTTGTTCACCAAGATCTGATTTAAATTAAAAAAATCCAAAGAAAATTGCTTTGGTTTCGATTGATTTATTGATTGTTTATTGTTTAACGTCCTTATCGACAATTTTTCAATCATATGGAGACGCCACCAATTGCCGGTGTAGAGCTGCAAATTTTGTCCTTAACTCATCACTCAAGGGCATTGAGAAGTAAAGGATCTTTTTCGTGAAAGCACCTACTGCGATTCGGGACTGTACTTTGTGTGGGATTCGAACCCGCGACGTAAGGATCAACTCCTTACTTCAAGACTCTAGAGCTGACACTCTAACCACTGCGCCATGCGGGCGACTTGATTTCGTTTCGATGTTACATATAAGGTAGATCAAAAAGCATTGTGAAAACTGATCTTAATAATTATTAATCAAATATTGTTATCATCCTTTAGCATACACGTATTTTAAACAACCTTGAACATATACTAGGTTTTGTGTAATGCAATTAACAAGGAAAGAATGTTGCTCATCTACAACTTTTTAACTCCTCAAGTGAAATTATTGCAGTTTTGCTATAAATTAATTTGTTTTGAGCTACATGTAAAGTAGAAATACGTTTGAATTTTTTTTTTCTATAAATTCTTTCTTTTTTGAGAACATCTTATGTACCGTCAGATTCGGAATCATTGTAGAAATTTGACGTCGAAATGACGTAAGTAAATATTTGCCATAACGAGAAAGACTAGAACATATCTTGTTTGTTGTTTGAAAAGTACATGTATGGCATATATAACTACAGGGAACGTCTGGTCAAAAGTCAAAGTACAGACACACGTATAAATGAATATTGAATTCATGGATGAAGAATTGCTTAATAGTTATGAATATAACATTTTACATTTCGTTGTGGACATAAATTCGTTAGTCTATTCATACCTCGAAAGCAACAAAAACAACCCCCCGCCCACAAAAATTTGTGATTTCACAGCATATTAATTTTTAAATATCTTTCATTATTAAATAATTAACCTTTTATCAATTTTGATGAATCTTTAGGATCAACCAAAAAAATTAATTAAAAAAAGCATTTTCTTAAGATTATATATTACAAGTAGTTACATGGCTAATTGTTAATTTAAATTGTATTTATGTTCATTGGTTCTATCATTTAATTTTTTTCCATAAAAGAAGGTAAAGATATAACCGAATGGACTTTATCCGTTTTGTGGATTGGTGGATATTGTTCAGAAGAAGATTCGTGTCTGTGGCAAGGCAGCAAGAAAATTCTTTATGACAACTGGCACACTGGTGATCCAAGTGGTGACGGACTATGTGTATTTCTTGCCAGAAGTGGGAAATGGGCTGACTTTCCTTGTGAACGTGAAAGATTCTACGTATGTGAAAAGTCCGTTTAATATTCGTCAAAAAAAAAAAAAACAACAGTTTGAGTGATGATTTTTCTAACTTGCAAATCTAGAGCTTCATGAAATGAATGTGTTCGGAGTCATGTTTTTTCTTTATTTTTTTGTTAACCTAAAACTTCCTATTTCTAAATTTTTGAATTAAAGGGTACAAAAAGGGAATGGAATTAGTTTTCTTTGTTTTATTGACATATTTTTTTTTTATTATAATATAAATTTACTGCCATTCGGTAACCCGACATTAGACTTTAGGACATTAGACCTTAGGACAGATGACACAAACCGAAAACGGATGCCTGGATTGGTATATAGTTTTCAACCTTTTTTATTGCAAATGATGCAAGAAGTAAATGTAAAGAATTTGTAAACCTTCTGTGATATTCAAATTTCTACCCATCTGAAATAATCCTTATCATTCTATATAAATATTTTTCACTTCAAATTCCTTTATTCGTATAACTTTGAATAAAATATTGAAAAGTATGCGGTGAAACTAATTTTTTTTTATTCATAAGAACATGACCAAAGTTGTTATGTTCATTTTTTTTTACAAGAGTTTGTTTGTATCATCTGTCCTTAAGTCTACCAAAAGCTTACTGAACGGTAAAGATTTGACCGTCCCTCCAAAATAAACGGTGAGTTACAACTGAAAAAAAAATATATTCTTTCTTGTCAACGACTGGCGTCCCTTGTTTTGTATGTGTATGGATCGTATTTACTTTATAATCAGCAAGTAAGATTTAGTGTGCATGAATACGTCGGGGTGTAGCCTTGACGCTTTTTCAAGTCCTATGCCCTTTTACTTAAGATATGTCACTCGTCACCTTTTTAGAAAAGTTCAAGCAGAACCTCTTACTTCAAAACTATTCATTAAAATTCAATTTTTATAACATATTTAATTTTAACAATGTTAATGTTTTAACATTCAACGAATAAACTGCTCAAGAAGCTACCAAGAGTCAAGATTTGTGAAGGACTATTTCTTGTGGTGGAAGGATATTTAGCAGATAATTCTGCAAATCTGCACATTTATTTAATTTAATATCTTGGAATTTTAGCTTTGCATACTTTTACGCGGAGAATATTTCCATAATGATATTGCTAGGAATATTTGATATAGGTCTTAATTTATATAGTTAGAATACGTTTTACATCTCCCTGCAACAATTTTTGCCAAAAAACGGAGATATTTTAAATAAGTCAAGATAAATTTTACATCATTTCTTGCCTGAAAATCACATATTTTGACCAATATTTCAAAATTTACACCACTGACCCCAATTTTTTCTTTCATTATTTTTAACTACTCGATACTTGTGATTGATCAGCACCTAAGTCGTAAAATGCTTGATTTAAGAAATGTTTTATTGCCTATATAGTTTTTAATACCTCAAAAATGTTACTTTTTAGTGCAAAAAGGTCACACAATAATTTACGCGCATTAATTTGAAAGATTTGTTCAATTATAAATATTATTCAAAATATTTTACGCAAAATAAAATCATATTTATTGCCATGGTTACATCTGATAAAATATGATCAAGGTTAAAGTAATTAACCAGGATTAAAATTTAAGTGCAAAAAGGTCAACTTCATTGTACCGTAGATTAGTAAGATGAACACCGACTCCCTTTTTTCTCTGCGATTTTGAGTCTCTCTATATGAGTACTTATCAAAATATACTTCTCAAAAATCCTTGATTTCACAAATTTCACGAGTAACATACCTTAAGTTGCATAAAAACTAGATGTACTGTGAACAATGTGCTCACTGAATGATACTTCGGGCTTCCATACGATTATAACAGCAAAGATCATGTTTTGCTCTTGGAGACGCTAAAATGAGTCAGCTTCAATAGTAAAATGGATTGGTGCACAATTTAACTATAAAACAAAGATTCTGTGAACATCTTATTAAATTTGATTATGCGAAATAAAAGGAGTTGCTGATATAAGATGGGTACCCCAAAGCCTAAAGGATGAACGTACAGACAGACGAACGGACATTCCGATCAGAATATACCTTTAGGCGGGAGTATATAAAAGTAAGTATGCGGAAAGAAATCTTGATTTCGTCATTTTCAGATATTTTTTATGTCGCTTATTGGGCATTTAAGGAATCTAGTAAGTGTGTTTAAAAAAAACCCAAAAAAGAATATCCAAACAGAACAGCGTCTTAACATAAAATTATGTTTTGAGATGGTTGAAAGGATGTCAGTTTCAAACTTATAATTCAAACAGCAATATACTTTTTGAATGTGTTTTGTTCATGATTCATACTGCATTAACTTTTTATTATTGTATAAAATGTTAAATACACTAGACGAATTGAAGTTGGAAACTATAGCCACTGGAAAGACAACTGGAAAGAGAATGGTGCTATCCTTCAAGCTGCTGTAAATCTAGCGAAACGGTGGACAGCACTGAGCAACCAGTGTTACAAAACGTTTATACTGGTGACACCCACTTGGTTGTTGGACTTTTTAAATTTAACTTTCTTCTCTATGTGAATATTTTACTTGAGATTCTCAAAGCACAATGTCTTTGTGTTTTGCTTAAATTTAGGGAAAAGGAATTTACAAAATGTTTTGCTTTATCTATGAGCATGGTACATATGTACGTTAAATGAAATACTAACCGTGGTTATAAATCTTTTTGATCGAACTTAACAACTTTGAACTAAAAAAGAATTTACAAAAAAAAAATAACCTTTATATCAAAACTGGGATAACAAAAAAAATTTTTAGTTAAACTTCATTAATACGTATATGATTATGTAACTATTAATACTGCAAGGAATGAAAAAAGATGAAGATAACGCACACAGATAGATTTCATAAAAACTACAAACAAACATTAATACAATACAGTTCTAACACCAGAGCATCAACACAAACCCCTGGAAGCACACTGAAGGTGTGAAAGGGTGCCTAGAAGACGTAAACATCCCTTTTTGACACAAAACACCCTTATTGATCAAGTTCTATTTCTTAATTTGCATTTTATTAAGCTAATTAAACGTGAAACCGGAAATGATACACTTTATTATAGACTATTAGTTTTAAATCAATTCTGTAACACTCACATTAATATGTACTAGACCCTTTTTACCGACGTAAATGTTATAGATTTTGATTTTTGGCGAAACAACAATATAACTATTCACAAATTAAAACTATAAATATTAAGAGGAAAATTATAGAAAGAAGAACAAATAAAAGCAATTCCTTTAACGGTCATGAGCCATTGCATTTTAAAGATCATCATTTTAGCCATTTTATTTTCAACAAATATCTGGAATTACATATTTGAATGGTTTTATATCGAAAATGGTGTTTTCAGATAACCTCGTTCTAGTCTAGTCTCGCTGTAGATCTATCTCGCGTCCTCTATGAACCTTTCAGGGGTTGTTATTTTATTCTCATAGTTGATTTCACAGTAATTAGCTCCTTTGTAATAACTTTAATTTTATGAACGTTAAAAAGAAGACAAGAAGATTCTGAAACCGGATACACTACCTGTATCATTTCAATCAAGCTGTTTTAAATTATTTTAAGATTTTACCATTATATGAAAAATTTTCCTGAGGTATTGAACCTATTTATGTGTACATTATAATTGATTTGAACATTGAGAAAATTTAAAACTGTATTTTTAAGGGGGTTGTTCTCAAATTAATATAAATAAAGTATTTGAATTTGAAGGTAATTTTACTTTTATGCATAAATTCAGGTTTTATAGCATATAGGATTGTAATTTGATAATTATGCAAGTTATTCATGAGCTCAAAATTCTAATCGATATCTTTAAAAGAATTTTTATCATGTTTCAAAATTCAGTTGACACAACAAAGATGGTATGCTGTCAAAACTATGCGTTCAATAATTCATCCCTTAATATATAATGATTTTGATTTTTCTGCCAAAAAAAATCTTTTTAATATTTTCAAAAGCTTAGCGCATTATATCTCAAACATTATATGTCTTCAGTAAATCCTAGTAGGTTAAACTACTTACTGGGATTAACAAAACGGCTAAATTATTGCGCCTATAAAACTTTGTTGGTATAGTATTATTCTTAGGTATTAATGTACTATTTGTGGTATTTTGACGCATTATTGCAAAAGTATAAATGCATATTTAGCAGGAATAATTTCTGAGGGAGAAAACAACTGGATGAATTGTTAAAATCCTACTTTGGGAAAATTGTAAGACTATTATAAATTGTTTTAAAAAAAGAAAATTATGAATTGGTAAATTCAAATTTGAAACAGATTTTATTAACGTTCATTTAATAATATTTTTTAAAAAGCTGACTATTAATAAATGTGCTAAAATCCAAGAAGAAGGTACAGTTTCAATACAAAGTAAGCCCGATATTTTTCTAAAATATGAAAGTGATATAAGAAAACAAAATTCATTCTTTCTTAATCATAGAAATTCCCTGCAGCAAGAATATACAAATCGTTTTTCTCATATGACCTCCTTAATGCTAATTGTGACGTCATTAACTTGTGCATTTTCCCGTATTTTCTTAAAAAGTTGCAGAAGACATCAATTTTCTGTGGAATTTTCTTTCAGAAAACATACTCTGCCACCGTCGCCCGGAAAGATTTTAAGATATGTGATTTTTCATAACAGTTTACATAATATATCCAAAAATTAAAGTGGGCGACGGTGGCAGACACTATTTTCTAAAGGAAAATAAGCACAGAAATGAGTCATTTTGAGGCTTTTCTGCATGAAACTTAAAAATGCACCAAATTAATGACGTCATACTACCAGAAAGGTCCTCATTCATGCCATATTCTTTCATGATTTATCATATTTATTTACTCAACTATTGTTAAAGCCAATATCATAACTTTTTAAGACCATTCAATTTTTAGGGCACATTAAAGTTCAAACTGTACCTTTAAAAAACAGCAACTAAAACAGCCTGGACCCATGATTATTAAAAATCAAAGGAATTTTTTTTTCTATTTCTAATTTAAATCGGAAGATAATGACTGGGCTATGTTGCATGGATTGGAATCGGTGACAAAATTTGCGTTAAATTTTGGACCAAGCTTAAGCTAA